CACTGGCTATTCAGAGACAAACTGTCAGTTCAGTTTCAATGTCACACAGGTGGTTGGGTCATTGTGAGCCAAATTAATAAGTAGGTCATGATGTTGGTTTAACTTTTAGCTTCAAGCCCTGTACATCCCGATGTGAGTCAATCTTTATCAGTACAGATAAAGTTTCTGCACACCCGTAGCCTTCAATTAATGCTATGACTAAGGTAAATATGTGAAATTTGAGTAGCAGTTGCATCAGTTCTGTGTCAATGGTAAATATGGTATGTGATGCTGGAACATTTAACTCTGGTATCATTTCTCCATATAAAGAATGGTTTTGAGAGAAGCATATTCTGTAACACTTTATCTGAACGTTGTGCATAAGACTGGATTGACACTGTCGTAAACATGATATAACACCTGTAATGAACATGAAGGAGCCTTCATGAATGTTTATGACTGTTATGAAGTGTCATTTGGTACATAATGACACCTTCAATTCAAGGTTGACACTTTTAGTGAACTTTTAATGCAAGTTTTAGTACAACTTTGAAATATAAGTGTCATTATTTACCAAATGACACTTTATGATAAGTTGTAAACATTCATACAGACTCCTTCATGTTCATAACAGGCGTTATGTCATGTTTATGGCAGCGTCATGTCAGTCTTTCGCACAATGCACACCCCTTAAATTAAAGTTTTATCGCATATTCATCTGGTAGAGTGCCCCAATCAACGTTTAGATCTGTGGCAAAGCTTAACATTTGTTTGCAGATGCTCACTATGCATTCTGGTTGAGTTTGAGCCATTTTATTAAAAAAAAAAAGGAATCCTCAGAACCGCAACTACAGATAAATACAACTGAGGGAGGCTTGTGCCAAAAAAATTGCATTTCTTTGCAAGAAATATGAAAAACTTCAGGATGAATACTTAACATTGGTACTGCATGTGGCGTGAAGAAAACTGGGAAAGAAGCCGAACAAATGCGAAGGAGATGTAGAGAGATAAATGTGTTGACAGGAGAGTGAGGGCAGCTCCCTTACTCCGTACAGTGTTGCATGCAGAGCCCCAGGTCAAGACACGCATCCGTCTAACTTTTATCAGTTAAAGTGATACAGCCCTGAGAGCCCCATAGGCACAGCAGGAGACTTCTAAAGCTTGATGTCTTTTTTTCCTCAAGCATTAACAAAAGGTAGCAAGGGCTTCCTTTAATGTGTTATATCTGCCTGTCATGTCAGCTCCCTCCATCTCTTTCTTTTTTCCCACCTTTTATTATTCTTTAACCTCCTGATCATAATCAGACTGAAAAGTCATTGCGCTTTTTCTGTTTTTTTGTATGATTTTCCACTAATACTCTCCCTCCCCCTCACCGCAGCATGGTAATGTTCTCCGAAATTACAGTGAGGTAAACAGAGCAGGGGAGTGGAAATGAAATAACTGCTACAGGGCTGTCAGGTCTGGCAAGGGAGCCATCCGTCAGCAGGAAATGACACGTCGTTCACCCCCCACCCCCATCCTGTCACACACACACACACACACACACACACACACACACACTTGATTCCTCTTCTCCTCCTGGTGGCAAGGTGAAGGAATTATGCTCATCAAAGCCTGAGCGCAGCCTGGAGCCTTTCCATTAACCTTATACAACACTGGTCAATGGCGAGGGGATGGACACATGCAGCAAGGGGGGCTTTTAAAACCATACGCGCTAACACACACACGCACAAGCATACAGTATACACTGTAAACTGTACCTTTAATGGAACAAAAGCCCCATACATAATCGCATCGAGATCAGATACACACACACCCGCGCGCGCGCGCACACACACACACACCTCAATTACCTTTTCATTCATAGCCTGACAGCAGTGCATGTGCAAGATCTGACATTAAAGGAAATTAAATCTCCTTGTGGAATGGGCCAGCCCATCTCACCTCGCTGTCAAAATACTCCTATTTCCACTCCTCTCCCCTAACCTTCTCATCTGGGTATTTAGAGCTTTGTGGTGCGGAACGTCATCAAAGAGGAAAAGTTAGTGAGGCAGCCGCGCTTAAAGGAGGCCTCCCTGCGATAATACCCGCGCAAACGGAGCCCCTCTACAATTAGCCCACGCACCCAAATTACTGCTTCACATTCTGATGCTTTCACGCACTGCACAAACTGCACACACACACACACACACACACACACACTGACTTATCATTGGCTTAGCCCAGTGAGTGAGTCACTAAGTCAGTTAACTCTTTGATCCAGACCTCCTTTCTGCTTTCAGATATGAAGCCTATCTGACATAATCCTGAAAAACATTGGCTCACGCAACCAATGAGACTCAAAGAAAAGTGCAGCTGCAAGGCTACACACTCTCAAGGGACTTAGCTGGTAGAGTGACACATGTACAGTAGATTTTTTTTTTTTTTTTTTTTACAGGCAGATTTAATTAAGCCTCATTGAGATGACTGATCCTGCATCATACGAACTCATGTGATCTTTTTTTCTCACGCGTCCAAATGCAGCAAACCTGCAGAGGAAGGAGTTTGCCTGATAATTCACTTCATATTTGAAGGGGGGAGGGGAAATGCTGGGATCCTGGGCACCAGCCTTTTCCCGAAGGTTTTAATCGGATCAAATATGGCTTGTCAGATACATAAGCTAATTAATCGGGGGAGAGACCAATCCCCTCTTTTAGCAAATGGAAATACGGAGGCAGGACATTGGCGGAGACACTTCCTCTCCTCCTTCAACTTTTCTCAATCAAGATGCAGAAAGAGACCAGCTGAGAAAAGATTGCCTGTTGTGAATCATAGTCTTTAAGGATTCTGTCTTTAGAGAAAAGACATTCATACTGCCTGACGTTTTTCCACAACCTCAAGCTGAGAAGATGATAGATTCTTGATTTTAAGACTAACCGGAGCTGCTGTTTACAGAACTTATGTATATAAAATATCTTCTTTGACACTAAATCAGCTATTAAAGCAATATTTCTTGACATGAAAACAAACTCGACTGCTGTGCACGCCTTTTACGTTAATTTCTCGTAGCCAATGCTCTTGTGTAAGATTTTGTGCCTGAAATTAAATTTTTAGACCATTTCTTTTCTATTAATATCTTCAGCTTCTGAATATGTATAGAGTAAAGCACATTTATTATCATCACTACAAAAGATGTGTAAATTGTCTTAAACGCAGTTCATCTGTTATTGCTTTGGAATAATCTTACAGTAAAAAAATATATATGGCAATATTTTTCTGTTGTAAAATTTCCATACTAAGAAATTATTGTTTTAATAATCCTTGATACCAAAATAATTGGAAGCATGATCAATTTTAGCAAAATAAATTTTCCATACCCAAATGGTTGTAAGTCTTCAAAAACAGTTAAAAGTTTACTAAAGGAAAAAGAGACATCTGAGTCTCTAATTCATTCTCTAAGACATTGTCCAACAATCACAAATGTAAATTTTGGGACTTAGATAAATGTTAGGACTTTAGCTAAAACTGTGTGCTTTGGTCAGAGGAGAAGAAATTTAGATTAAAAAAAAAAAAAAAAAAAGAAAACACTGTGAAACAAAAAACTAAGACATATAAAAACTCCTCATTGTTAATGTCTGGCAACCTTTGATGCATTTGGCCCATTTCTCTACCAAACATCCTGGAAACTTTAGGACAGCACAATATATCAAATACTCTTTACAGTGTCGAGATATTTTAAATGTATTTTTAAAAAATGGAAAGCAATGATCATTGGCATAATTATCCACAACATATTGCCTAATCTTCAGAGAAACGTTTTCATCAGACACAAATATTTTTTATTGTGGTGTTTGCTCCCATAATCTTTCTCCCAACTATAGTGCATCGTACACACTAGATTTTTTTTTGTAAATTTTTCACACATTTTACCACGATCATATAAAATGATATGCTGTTTGAAGGGATTAAAGTTTACAATCCGTAAAGAATATTTTTAGACTTATTCAGGTCGTTTAGACAAAAAAGTTGCTTTATTCTAAAGATTTCAGATGTTTTTTTTTTTTTAATTATTTTTCATGTTCTAATAAATTTAACCTTCAAACAAATAACTCAAATTCAAAATAAAAGAGGACATGGCACAATGTGGCTGCCGAAGTGGGTGTAAAGCTCATTAAAACCTCATCAAGTCTTTGCTCTCATTTTATTTTCCTGGCTTGTAACCACGCCATAGTTGGCCGTCTGTAGCGCTGCATTGGCCCCTGGCATATTTAACTCATGATGGTCTCAACTGCAGTTCAATAAGGGGTTCAGCGATGTATCTCGCATACAGGGAAACTCTGGACGGCTGCCTGATCGGATGAGTCACTTACTACCTGGAGGAAGGATGCTAAGCTAATGTGCTTACAGCCTACAACATCATAAATCCATAATTAGCACTGAGGATGGCATTTCATGCTTAATTTAAGCACTGAGTGATTTGAAACGTAGATGGTATAGTGAGTTACATTGTGACTGCCTGACTCAGTGGATGATTGACTGGTTGGGCGGTCTCAAGCTGTTTCATGGGGGAAACTTGCAACTACCTCAGGCTAAGCCCACCACCAGCTGCGCAGCTTCTCCCAGCAAAGAGCTGCTTCTGGAAATATTGAAATCTCTGTCGCTCAATAATACAGTTCGCCCTTTTCTCTGATTTGAACTCTAAACTTAACCATTTAAACAACTGCTCTTGTAAATATATGCGTTGTGTGAGACGCCAATACAGGCTTGACTGTCGTACCTGCCACTCCCGTGAATCCCGTAAAATGATCACACACATGCGCTCAGAGCTTGACGTCTGTGAATTATCGATGTAGTCACCGAGCATTTGATCCGATAAATGTGTTTGTGTCAGAGGACAAATGCTTTTTAACCAGAGTTTGGTTATAGTTTGCCATATTTCAACCTATCTAGTGATTATCCATTACAATTATGTCATCGACTGACCGATTTCCATTTTTTTTCCTCTCCCCTGTGTCGCACTTTCCCCTTTCTGTCGTTGGCAGCAACAAGAGCAGGACCCCACAAACCTGTACATCTCCAACCTGCCAGTGTCGATGGATGAACAGGAGCTGGAGAACATGCTGAAGCCCCTGGGTCACGTCATCTCTACAAGGATACTTAGAGATGCCAATGGGGTCAGCAGAGGAGTCGGCTTCGCCAGGTAAATAAAGACCATAAATCAATGGGCAAAAATTGACTTGTTTGTCCTTGCATGTTATAGGAGAAACAGTTATCCTAAAAAAAATCCATAAATTCCCGTGACTTGAGCTCTACATTGAAAATGTTATGTCTCTGGAGTAAGTGGAGGTATCTAGATGGCACATACTTATCAAAGTAATGGTTCTTTAAATTCTGAGAAGTCCCCAGTAGAGCCATAAAAGAAATTGCACAACTGTTGTCTTGGGTTGAAACTGTTACTGAGGATTTAAATAAACGTGGGTATCCAACACACAACGAGAATCTGTGTCGACATCAGAAAAATGCTGTTAATCTCTACAACTCTTGCAGGAAGTCCAAGACCAACAGCTTAAAATGCTACGATCAACATTCAGCTGTGTTGATCACAGCAGCGGAGTATAACTGGAAGCCATACTTTTCAGATTCTCATTTGTAAAAATAAAAAAGGGCAAACATATTTACGTTAAACTTCACAATTGTACACTGTTTGTGCCAGCTTTTTAACATATAGCTCTCAATAAAATAAAGTTTGTAGTTGTAAACTGATACATTGTGAAAGGTTTCAAAAGGAGTGGATACTTTTATAAAGCAAACGCAGTGTCCATGTGTTTCACAAGCACGGATAGTGGCTATTGCATCACTGTAAAGTCACTGCTGCTGTTTTTCTAGAGCCAAGCCTGTCATTTAACAGTTTTTTTTTTCCATTTTCTACTTTGGAAAGTTTCTTCTACAGCTTATTAATCCCCCAAAGTCATAAACCACTCTGTCCTTGTCCTCGACAGCAGCCACCAGGCTCTCATTCCTCCCTGTTTACCCAGAGGAGGCCGGTGACGGCCACACCACCGCCATCTTGCAGGGATTTTTCTTAATCACCTGCTCTGGCTAAACTCCTCTCCTATTCCCTGCTCTATTACTGAAAGGTTAAAGCAGGATAGATGAACGCATACACACCAAATAAACAACTGCACAAATAAGCATATGCGCAGATAGATCCCGCATGCAAGTCGTTGTGCACATGTAACAACACACATTAAAAACTAGCCTCTTAGTTGCGCTCCCTCAAACAGGCAGCCCTCCTGCAGACCAGCAAACAGAGCACAGCAACAACCTGCCACAGGCCACCTGTTCAAGCAGCCTCAGTGGCTGCAGGGACAGACATGATGGAAAGGGAATCTGAGAAAGCGGCTACATGAGAGGGACGCGGGTGTGACGCATCGGTCTCAGAGAAACAAGTAACTTTAGAGGTCACTATGAAGAGACAAAATGTTTTTTTTTTTTGTTTGTTTGTTTTTTTTTTTACTGAGATGATCAGAAATCTTTACAGAAAGCGAAAAGACTGAAAGAGGCAAAGTTTAAAAAATTATTATACAGGCACGAATGGCTGAAGAAATGATCGATTATAGTAAAAAAACAAAAAACAAAAAGTGTCCGTAAAAGAAGCTAGAAGGACAACTGTCCACAGAAGACAAAACAGATCAATGGACTACATAAAATGTAGACCTCCCATTAGCTGTGTCAACAGACAGACAGACAGGCAGCTGCTGAGGGCTGGACTGTGAGGGGCATTAGAGAGAGTAAACTGAGCTAAGTGTTTGTGGGCTGATCCATTACTGTTATCAGAGCCCATTACTCCAGCCCCAGCACTAATCATTGCAGACAGCAGCACCTGATGCCATTAACCAGCAGCATACTCAGAAAAGCCAAACCTGCCTCCCCGTCTACCTGCCTGACTCTGCAGCTGACTGACCAACGCTCAGCCTGGCTCACTGGTTTGTTTCTCAGTGGCTGCTTTCCAGTCTGCCTGCCTCATTTGCTCCTAGTATTCTGGGCTGATTTCTACCTGCTGTGGTGATGGAGAGACAATGACGAGAGATGGAGTTTTTACAAAACAAACAAAAAAAAGTCATTTTTAGAAAAGGAACAAAGGGGTGTGCTCTGCATTAGCAATTCTTACCATTTAAAAAAAAAAGGAAATATGCTAAAATATTATTTTTTTAACAGTCATCCACTTTTTAGATGCAGGAGTAACGCGCTTAGAATTAGTCCCAAATAATCTCAGTGCTGTTTTTACAATACCATTCACTTAACCCAGGAAAATACTACAATAAAATGATTACTCACCTCCACTGGCTCATATTTGGGACAGGTTGGTGAGTGGTACATGCTGCTGCGCCCTGGCAACCCGGTGGTAGGAGATGCCAAGCAGATGACGACAACTGACCGGTTCATAGTTATAGTCAGTTTACCATAGCAACTAATCTCGTTATTAGCCAATGTTTATGTCTACGATAGTTCATAATAAACTATTAATATTGGTTGTGATAGGAATTAACCAACTAATACCTAAAATCAAAAACTCAGTTGTTATTTATGTTGTGTGTACATCAGCTGTGGGTGTGTATGTTGGGGTAAAAATAAGGCAAAGGATTCTCAGAAATGGTCAATCTGGTCTTGCAACAAGATGGCTCCTGTGACAAAAAAAAAAAAAAAAAAAAAAAAAAAAATTAGTCCTAAGATGGGGGATCTAATGAACCACATGTTGCATGATAGACTATGTTCTCTGTTACCCACAAGTATTCCAACACACATGGTACACAGGAGAGTGGATGTTGGAGAGAGTGATGTATTTGAATCTCTCTTGAGATCCAGTCCTGGTTCATGACAGGCTGTGAATTACTTTCCTTCAGTGATGTGACAGGTGGAACAAATGAGGCTCAGTTCACATGCAAAACCTAATGCTAACACATTTATCACACAAAAAATGAACCATAAAAATAAATCATGAAACATGAAAATAAATCAAATCAAAGAAAACCTGTTGAATTAATGATGGGTCTTAGTCTTATGCTTAGCTATATATTATCGCGCTAATGCTATCTTGCACCTGGTTTGTCATTGTTGTCTTTAAGACAGATTTTTCCTCTCTTGATGTAAATGTTCTTATGGAAGAAGAAGAGCTCAGCACAACTTTTCTTGTCTGGTGTTGTGTTTTCTTCTCTTTTGGTTCTGTGGTGTCTGAGGAAGAAATCTGGTCAATTGTTGTCCCGGAAGAGTTAACCTCTGGGTTAACTTAGTCTGGTCACTGCGTTTCCCCCATCCGGCTAGAGCTTGATTTGCGTGGTTACTAAAGGAATGGTCTCAAACCTTTGCTGCTGGTTTGAAATTGAAACAAAGAGATGACTGCACTACTTCAGGCATGTCTTAGTTTCTGAAAGCTGATTCAGGAAATTTAAGGTTTGCAGTGGAATTCAGGAGCAATTTCTACCATTGGAGGATACTGGAGCCACATTTTTGTCCCATGAAGAGAAGTAGGGCAAAATGAAAAATGGTCTCCCTTAGCAAG